GTTAGGTTAGAAAATAAGCGCGGTCTAGTTAAGATTCGCAATGTCCTTCAGGATCGTCAGGTTTCCGCAAATGGACAAGGAGGGGAGATAGGCTTAAATACCTGGGATCAGTGTGACTGTGTATTTGCCACCATATTTGGTAGGCTTGAAGATGTTCGACTGGATGGTAGCGAATGCTGCGCGAATGATGTTAGTGTTACTCGCGGGGGGTTTTAGGTTTGGAGTAAGAATTCCACATACATCTAGCAGCAATTGCAGATCGAGGGAGAGATGTGGAGGAGGTTTTTGCGACAGTGCGGAAAAGAGACTTTGAACGGCAAAATAAAAGGTTAGTATGGGAGCTGAGTGGGTGAGGGGCAGTTATCAGGATAAGAGGTGAATGAAACAGAGTTGAATTGGATTGCATTGAATTGAATTAGGGAGGGGAGAAATTACACACCTGCGCTGGTTGCGCAGTTCTCAGGGAGAACATGGTGAACTCAATTAATGGAATTGGGTGGAAGTAGAGGCAATTGAGGGAACAGGAGAAGCTGGTTGTGTGAACTTCAGGTGGTGAGGATGAGGTTTGATGTTTGATGTTTTGGAGTTTTTTTCTTTTTCCGGCGCCTGCGGCTCAACCACACAGCTTAGTCAGCTGTTAGATAAGTCCCACCCCACGTGGGGGTTAGTTAACGTTCAGCCTCAAAGCGCCTCCTTTTTTTACTAGCGAATTTCTTCACTTCATCATTCATCAACGACACATCAATCACGACCTATTAATATTATTACTGCGACAGTAGTCAGTCACACACCAGCCATGGGCAGATACCCAGTATGGCTGGTCTAGTGCTGCACTACGTATATACTCGGTTCTTCCTTATTTTACAGTTATGGCCTAGCAGTGACGGACATCCGTATCGTCCAGCATGAAGAACCCAACGGGTTGCCACGCTACTCTGCGTGTATCATTTTGAATCAGGCCGCCATGATAGTCCTGATAGCCTGCCTTTTCTCTTCTTCTCTCATTTTTGCTTTTGCTTAAACGTCTTGTTGTACGCAGCGTGTGAACAGCACAGTATATTGTGGGTGGAACTGAGCTTCTGCGACAACAACCACCTCTGGTATCACACATCTTAGATACCTAACTATACTCCGTATGGTGACCACTGGTGGGGCTGCCATGATACACGCTGATGCCACTACTCCATGCCCTCTTCATCACTGTAAACCATTAACCCATGTTTCCTCTACGCCTCTTAGCATGAGCGACCATGTCAAACATCTTAACTGCCCTTAGTTTTATTTAGCTTAACGTTTAAGGTTGAAACTCTACTTATTGAACGCCTAATCCGGAACTTGAATAACACCTGAACTCCTTTGGATATTCTCCACCCTTCTGTGTTTATTGAAACACAAAAACGTCTGTCTCCAACCCTTGCATGGCACGGGGGATGGTCCCTGCATCCTGCTGCGTCTCCTGCTGCATCTCCTTCTGCGTCTCCTGCATGGCGTGTGGTCCGTGTTGCCATGCTGAACGCGGAGCAGAAACACATGGCCGCCGTTCTCAGAACCTTGGGAAGAAACATCCCCAGCCTGGGGCAAATCTGGAGATTATCTTTCGTTTCATCCCTTTCATTCTCCTGGAGACTGGAGAATCTTTCTGAACTCTCTTGTCGAGTACCATATGGTCATGAGTTTACACCAGGGGTTTGACCCTAGGCACAAAGCCCAAGTGAATTTGTCTTTCTCGCAATAAGCTATTGGAGGTTATCGCAATTCGTCTTCTAGCGCCCATGTGTTCGTCTGTTCTTTCTCCTTATTTTTTACTTTCTTTATTTCAACGTACTACTAGGCACAAGACAGGGCCCTGAAATAACCCTCTATTATGGGTGGGTCCCAAGTCTGCTTTCTCTCCTGACCATCTTTTGTCTATAAAACACCACTCCCTGCATCTTCTCATTTTCGTTTCTTCTATTCTCATGCACAACAACCGATTCGATCAATTTCAACAATATTAGCAACATTAGCAACCTTCAATATACCGCAGCTCCCTCTTGCTACAGCTTCTTTTCCCTTTTACAACCCATCCAGCCTTTTACCCAAACTACAAAAGCAAACATGAAGTTCCTCGTTGTATTCCTCACCCTCATGACCGCCTCCGTGTGGGCAGTTGCCATTCCAGCACCCGAGCCACAGCCTGCTGTTGAGAAACCCAACGAGGGCGAATGTATGTCCACTCTCTCCTAACCTATAACATATTCGTTGCACTGTAGAATCCATGACGGTGGGCCCTTATTGACATAGTAACAGTCGTCGCGAAACGTTGGTGTACTCGCCCCGGTCAAGGTTGTTAGTGGCCTTCAACCCACAACAGCTATGGACTGCGCGGCAGTCGACCTGGAGCTCCAGGCCTCGGGGTCCTTCATGTTTTTCGCCTTGTAACCCGGTGCTACAAAGCGTAGGATGTCCCGATTTACTTGCACGTTATTCTTTTCACGATGTCAATATTCCTCTCCTCTGCGGCCCGTCAATCTTTTCGATTACCGACTTCGTACGGAACTCCAGACTCGGGATGTCGAATGGGGGTTGGTTTACGTATTTGGTTATTTTGTCTACTGTTTCCGCGACTCGTGGCTATTAATTTACGGTTGATTTCTTGTATGGGAGGGTACGCGTTTCAACCGACTTTGCTCTCTTTTAGCCAACACAAGGGGATGGGAATGTCCAGTTCAGTGAGACTTCCACAGGGGTGTCGACATCAATAAAGTCCGAGGTGGTTTCCGATGATATTTCTGTTCTTATTTTTTTCTTCATGGAGATAAATGTCAACAAAGGATCGTCCATGAAAGGAATACGAAAAGGGAATATCAACCTAAAATAGAAAACAGAATAACCGATACGGATCCGACACACCCACGAAAATACCACCTTCTTCTCACGCCTGAACACTATCTGCCAACGTTGAGAACGGAACCGAACAACAACAAAACAAAACAAAAACAAAAAAACAACCTAAACCCTGTTTTCTCTATCTTCGGTTACCCTGGCCTTCCCCTTGAGAGCACCCTCCCCTTTTATAATCAGCTCCCGAACTCGATCGTGGCACCTTTTTCACGAACGCTTGATATGCTTTATGCTTTATGCTCTATGCTTTGAACGCCAATTCCCCATACCCACATACTGATTCACGTGGCCAACTTCTGTCTATTCTGCTTGTCTTTGTTTTAGTGTTAGTCTACTTTTCGTTTCATTCTGTTCCACCAGCCCTTTCCAATCTGAATGACCCAGGCTCAAGTTTGACCTGTTTTCGCAAGCCTCCCCAACTCAACCCGTTCCTCCAGGTGGTTGTCTCACGCCCATTTTCTTGCGTTTGCACATTGGAAATCTGACCAGCAACGATCATTAGTCACATATACATTGTTATTATTAGGGACCAAATGTCCGCCGACTAAGAATCCCGGGCCATGTACATATGTCTATCCCTCTGAAAGTAAGCTGCCCTTTTTGGCTTTTGTTTATGTGCTTCCTGTGCGTACCAGAGGTATTCTTTTCTTGGGATAACGAATGTATGTATGTGTATATGATTGTAATAATGTATTGCTTGAGACATGAATCATTCCTTTTCCTTGCCTCGGGTAAAATGGCGGTGCCGATTTGGTCGAAGTTGTAGATAAAGTAGCTCAACTAAATTGTCAAAGAAGTATATTACTCTTCTATTATATCCCGAATTGAGATGGAAAGGGAGATGCGAAGCTGAAATCTGGCCAGTTCACCATGTCCTGGCTGTCTGAGCACCCTTCATTAAATCATCTTAACGTCTAATCTGTACCTTGAATCAATTTCTAGCAGCATCCATATCCGGCCCCTTCTTCATAAGCGTGACGGAGAGACAATTTAACATATGGGATGACTGGATATTTATTGCTTAATATATAATAATAGTTTATTTACCCTTCAGTTCGAGCGTCCGCTTCTTTGTCAACGCAGGTTGCATATTCGTGCATCGGGCATATTTATTATATTGCCTAGCTCTGGGGGTCGGTTATTTACTTAGCAACCTCCCTCAATAAGATTAAGAGATCGCGAACTCATTTCTTTAGTCTCATGTTCTGCTCTGACTGAAGGCATGGGTCAGGTAACAATTGCATCGACCCTTTTCAAGACGAGTATTTCTTTTCAATGGTTAGCTCAACCTTCACTCTCAACTTTTCAAGGCTGTATAACCGCGCGGACCTCATTCTTTTTTCGATTTACTGATTATTATTTCATTAACTGCTAACTAACCAACCGCAATGGTCTGCAATAGCTGAGGAGAAACAGAACCAGATCCCTTGTCTCCTTACTATGGAGAAGAGTTAAAATAAGTATAATTATGAGACCGGGCCGACCACTCTAAGACGCAATTCCCATTCGACTTGGGGATGGAACTAAGTCGCGTTCTATTCAGCAGCGAAGATCGAAGGTCTATTCAGCTGCTGCTTTCTCTATGCTCGATTCTGGGGGGCTTGTAGCTGAAAACTCATAAGGGCGATGGCCAAATTCCCAGTAACTAACCTCAAGGCCGATAACGCCTTGGATAACTCAATGAGCTTTACCCTCGATGACTCCATGCCCGGTGGGAAGCTTAAACGGGTGTGCATTGCAACATGATCTGGTGAGTGCATATATTGCATTTCTTAGCACAAAAAGCCTCTTTCTTACCTTCTGAGAAGAGTGCCTTGCGTACTGATCGTCTCATGCAGATGTACATGTACTACATATATACGTATAGGCCCTCGAACTCTACACCGGACCAGCATGCCTCCTGTGGGCCGGACAGCGAATATTCTTCTCAAATTCGCCGATTGATTCACTAGAATTGGCCACTTCACTCTCGCGATTGAGCGTGTCGATTCCTAGCCGATTGGTCGGTTGGTGATCGTGTTTATCTGGACGGGAATGATGGGAAGTGGAATTGCGTAGAGAACCTCGAACCACAGGTTGCGAAGGATTGCCAGTATGCTGGTGCCTATACCATTCCACTTTAAATTGTTTCTCTTTGTCGATTGGGTCTCCTGGTGAGATAGATACATGCTTTACTCAGCGTAAGGGGAGAGCGGTGGGGTGTGGTTAACAGACAGAGCATTAAATAAGTTCTAGTAGTTAAGTTATAACTTACGGTGTATAAAAGAATGTCTTTATATTCACTCAGATTTAATCAGATTTTGATGATTTTTCTCTGAACAGTCTAGTTGAGAGAGATGTCAAAGAATCAGAACCATACTAGATTTCAAATTAAGAGTAATGAAGAATTTTCTCAATGATATACTCTATACTACTTGAGATCTAGTAATAATCATAATAATCCTCGCCTTCAACCACCAACGACGTCATCAACCATAGATGTTAATAAATGGTGCCAAGACGCGGCTTGCTGCCCCCTGGCATATTTAGCCGCGCGGTTTTTTGGTACTATGTGAAATTCAATCATAGGAACGAATAACGGACCGGATAGAGGATTGAATGAGATTTGGACCTTCTAGAAATGCTGTCTTTTATTTCCGCATATTTTGATTAATGAACGAACACCACTTTTTTGGAAAACATATTGCTTTGTGGTTCCTGTATGCGCACAAAATGATGCAGCACTTATGAGATTCGCGCGACGGACGACATTAAAATCCTTCGGTCAAATAAATTGAAAAACAGAGATTTGAATGAACATGTCAGTGGAAATAATATCAAAGACCTGACTGGGGTGTTTTGGTTGAGTCTTTATTTTGTGCTGCAGAACTATCTATCCGGTTCCTAGGGCGTAAAAATCAAGTTCTTCATTGAAATTTGGAGGGCTTGATGTCGTATTCTTCTAATATGAGATGAGATGAACGGAGTGATAGATTGGAGATAGGAGATTTGATCCACACTTCCTTCGTGAAATTTAAGTTTTTCCCATTTTTATCATTCTAGTTCCCCGAGTTTCATATTGGAAATATGATAGAAAGAGAGAAAGAGCGAGAGAGATAGAGCGAGGAAATGGAATGATCCTATCTATATGTTGGAAGTAAAAGCGTCTTTGGCATTGGTATGAGCCGGGACAGTAGAAAAGGAGCAAATAAAAGGGGAAAATATAATAACGAAAAGGGGGAAACAATAAGGATGAATTAGGGGAAAACAGTTAAGGAAATAAAGTAAAGTGTATGTTAAGGGGTTGTAATGAACGGATTGGAAGACAATAGTAAATTGAAGCTGAGCATCGATTGTAAGGCAATATTGGGATATCCTGCGAACAAAGGAAAAAAGAACTGAAACCAATCACCGCGACTAGAGCGATAAAAATTGCGTCCTAAACACAAGCAATCAATCTGCAATTCAAAATTGTCCCTATAACCCGTGTGGAGGATCGAACTTGAGACAATTTGAGAGAAAAAAGGGGGGAGGGGAGTGTTTCAAACGCCGTTTATGTCCCAAAGAAGCAAAAAGCCCTAACTAATTTCTTTTCAATCAAACCTCAAGTCCCTTTCGATCAGCAAAATAAACACTATATTCAGAAGAGAGGAGACATTATCTACCTAACTAACCAACTTACCTAATTAGATAACTAAACAACTAGCTATAGCATCTCCTGCTCATCCAGCCAATGCGCCCGCCTAATCCCACAACCCATATACATGGTATTACTCCGCTGCTCGAACGCGCCGTACTGATTCTCCATCGGCTGCAGTAGCAACTCTGCCTCTGACACACCTTGTCCGTGTCCCTGCTGCTGACCTTGCTGGTCGTGATGACCCCACCAATCATGCCCTTTGTACACCGGGTCAACGGCCGGTTTGTACGACGAGAGTGCCGGTGTCCCAGCAGCAGCAGTACCGGCAGCAGCACCGGCAGCAGCACCAGCAACAGAAAATTGCGATGCCACCGCGAACGCCTGTTCGCACGCATCCCTGGCGGCTGATGCGTTATATTCGCGCTGTGCGAGGGCCTCGTAGCCAGACATAACGTATGGTTCTGCGTGTTCATGTTGGTTGTGATCGACTCCGGTTGCACTCCGCGTATCTCGATCCATACTATCCACGTCGGTGGCCATGGCGTCCTGGGAAGAAAAGTGCATGTTAGACGGCAGGGACGAAGTTGACATCTGACTCCCTTTGCCAGCACTCGGCCGTGAAATCTGCCATAGTTCGATCAGGCGCGACTTCTGGTCCACGTCTGCTTGCGTGAAGAGGGTCAGCTGAGATGGGAAGAGGGCGGTTGGGTCCACGTTGTGTTGGAATAGCATTTCTTCTGCTGAGATTCCTGCCTGCTGCATCGCGTGCAGGGTGGCGGAAAGCGTCGTTGACCATGCACCCGTGCCGGGGAGCTGGTGGGCGGAGTGATGGTAGTGCTGAGATATGCTGTAGGCTATTGGGCGGGGGATGGAGGTGGAGGGGGTAGAAGGGGGTGAGGGGGACATATCAGGGGTCGGGGGTATAACTGCAGGTACCATTGATTGAGGAGGGCTTGCGGTGTTTTGATTTGGGTTGGAGATACCCGCCACACTCATCTGCCGGGCAAAGAGGATGGCTAGGTCGTCTTGCATTTTGGAATCGCCCTCCGCAGCGGATAGGCCACACTGCAGGGAAACAAGTTAGTGGGGGGGGAAAGGGGGGCGGATTAGGGAGTATCTGGCTTCTCGAGGAAAGAAAGAAGGAAAATGAAAATGAGAAGAAAGACATTGTAAGAAGAGGTGAAAAAGATTACCTGACGGCAGTAGGGGTTTTCAGCGAAGGCAGCCAGGGAATTTGAGATCTCGGAATCGTGACCGCAGTAAGTACAGTGATGAAGCACTGAAGAAGACATAGTTTCTATTCTGCCTGAGGTGCCCCTTTTGTTCTTTTGTTCTTCCAGAGTAAATAAAGGGGAGGTATCTAAGAGATGAGAAAAAACGATTTCTCTCCCTTCTTTTTCAAGAGGGGGGCGGAAGGGATGGAATATGGAGGGATGGAAGGATGGAGATAGAGAAGATGACTGGTAGCGAAGTAGAAATCTGTATCTTGTATCTTGTATCTTGTTTCTTTTTGAGACTATGATAACACCTAAGCTAGCTAATTATCGTAGTTATATCTAAACTGGCGGGATTCCACCGAGTCCTTGATGTCCAGCGGTTAGAGAGAGATTGTGGCGGCCAGAATCCAGGAGAGGAGGGCGTTCAGACGACAATCCAGGGAAGTCCAGTCCAGAGGGTCCGGGCTAGGCAGCTGAGATATCAAGAGAAAAATGGAATAGAAAGCGAGGGATAATGTCAGGATTAGATGTGGTGATTTTGAAGAACGAATAAAATAGAGGTGTGGTTGAAGGTTGAGGTTGAGAGAAGTCAACAACAAACATCTGAGAAATAACAAATGAGGGGCAGATGGAAATTGAAGAAAATGCTGCAAGATTCAACGGTGGCGCTGCTAGGTGACGTGGTTGGGCAGCGAGTTTATTGGATGCGACTCTGACTTCAAAAAGGTTACCTATATTTATCCTGCCAGGAACTTGGAACTGTGTGTTATATATATATATATATATATAAATACATATATAAAATATACATATATGAACCCTATGTCCTTCTCTCCCTCTATCTCCGTCCCATAAGGTCTCAAGGAAGAACTCCGATTTACTCTGTATATTTCTCTATTAATCCCCCCCGGCAATACCCACTGCCAGCCGGGCCAAGAGATAGTTATTGATAAATTGGCCACAGGAAAGCCGAGGATTGTGCACACTTTCAACCACCTTGACAGATTACTCCGTTAAGAGTAGCTTGCCGACAGTGCGAGTGCGAAAACCCGTATGGATTTAATAATACCCTTCTAGTGCCTTATGGCCTCGCTTTGCCTGCGCTGCAATGTCCGGGTCTTGGAAGGGGATGCTCAACTAGACGGCGTTTAGTTCAGCAGATGGGCGTGGTTGTTGTCGAGAGAAAGGCCATGATGATAACTAACTAATCATAACGCAATCTTTTTTTTTCTTCCTCTCCTGTTCCCTTTTCCTTTGCTCCGACTCGAGACTTGAAACTTCTTCCCAGATTCTTCAACACTCAGCTTCAGCAAGACTTCAAGATAATCTGCTGACTCACGCAATAATCCCCCTCCTGGAATAGTTACTCTCCTGGGAAAACCTGTAGAAAACATACGCTCTTGATTGAGACTGCTGCAACTTTGGTTGAAATGACCAGCACCCGCCCTAGTCACTGGTCCCTCGAAAGGGAATTCGATAGTATCCATGGAGGGCGAAATCGCTTTGACATATTTATGGTATCGAGAGCATACTGTTAGACTTGTCTGGTGGAATCTCGCATCTTCATGAAAATGTGTGAATGGTGGCAGTCCAACTCGTCGTATCCTGGTAAAGGGAGGATGCTGTAAACGTAGGCTTGATACAACAATCTAGAACCGGCTGCCGATTGGATTTGAATCAGGGTAACTATCGCTCTCACTAGGATCTTTGGTTAGCTCCAACAATAGGGATTTCTCCTCGAGCATCATGAATTGTCATGGATCTTGATCTGATCGATCTGATATTAGAACTGGATCGAAATACCGTGCTTAATCAGCCACATCACATGACCCAGAGGCAGCAATCCCGTGACGCGTGAGCTCAACCTCCAGCTCCGAGCGAAAGAGCGCAGATATACAAGATACAAGACCTTGAAGCCGATATCATTGCTTAGACCTGGGCTCTTGAGACATTCCTTCTCTTACTGCTGCATCCCACCCTGTTATCTCCCTCACAACTGTTCCTCCTATCCCACTACACCTCCCGAATCCCTCTCCTCCCATCATTAGTCGCAGACCACAGCTCCAGATATGGTATGCTTTCCCAACACCTTCCACCCTACCTAATACACGAGCTTCAAGAAACCAGCAACTAATTCGCCCCACCTCACCAGACGTCCATAGGCACCGGCTACGATCTTTCGAACTCTATCTTCTCTCCCGATGGCAGGAATTTCCAGGTACCTCGCCCTCTTTCGTCCGCCAATGAACCCTCCATCACGCAATAACGCAAACAAAGCAGCTATTCTGACGGGGTGGAAAATGCTTGAATTGCAAACATCATAACAGGTCGAATACGCAGTGAAAGCAGTAGAGAACGGCGGCACATCCATAGGAATTAGATGCAAAGATGGCGTTGTTCTGGCCGTTGAGAAGATCATAACGTCCAAACTCCTCAAACCCGGCGCTAATAAGCGCATATTTACCGTCGATAGACATATTGGAATTGTCAGTCCTCTTCCTCGTTATACACTTTTTTTTTTCTACTCTGTGGCCCCGGATATACCTCACCGCTAGTGGCTAACGCATTCTGTGTGGGAATATAGGTATCCTCAGGCCTCCTCCCCGACGGCCGGCATTTCGTATCCAGAGCCAGAGACGAAGCCGACGATTGGAGATTTACATACAAAGGCCCCATTGCCACACATGTCCTCGCTAGCAGATTAGGCGGTTATGCACAAGCATATACCTTATACTCCAGCGTGCGGCCGTTTGGTGTCACCTCTATCATTGGTGGCTGGGATTCGGAGCTGGAGCTCCCCGTGGACGGACAGGTGGGATCCGGCCCCAAGTCTGGCGCTGGTGGGAAGGTTGCGAATTCCAAGGCTGGTGGGCCAGGGTTGTATATGATTGAGCCGAGTGGGCTTTACTGGGTGTGTAGCTTTCATAGCCCTCTTACTTTGTTGCTTAATCAACCCTCCTTCTCCATTCCGTTTATAGAGAATCATTTCTGACAGCAGACGTGAACAAAAACCAGGGCTACTACGGCGCCGCAACAGGCAAGGGGCGCCAAGCTGCCAAAGCTGAGCTAGAGAAACTTGACCTGGCCTCAGGTAACTTCACACTACTAGAAGGTGTCAAGGAGGCCGCCCGTATCATATATGTTGCGCATGAGGATAGCAAGGATAAAGACTTTGAGCTGGAGATGACGTGGATTAGTGCTGCGGATGGGCCAACGAAGGGCCGCCATGAGGAGGTGCCGAAGGAGTTGCTTGAAGAGGCTATTCGGGATGCTAAGAAGGCTATGGAGGGAGAGGATGAGGACGAGGAAGAGGAGAAGCAAGGGGAGGGTGAGGGCGATAAGATGGAGGAGTAGTGGATTTTGGGTTTGGTTCTCTTTAATGTCGTGTTAATCCAAGAAATATTTTGTCTGCAAAGTTGAGCTCTTTTTTCATGGTTGTGCGCTGCGCTCTACTTTCTTATAAGATCCTCTAGATATAAAAAAATAAATAAATAAAATAAAAAAATAAATCTTTCGATTGTCTTTTCCCTCATATGACAAAACAAATTGATACAAAAACAATTCCAGATAAATTTTAACGTACAAACCAACCCTCCGTCCGTTCCCTTTTCAATTCCCTACAAAAACCTCCCCTCCGCCCACCCCCTCCTCTTCACCCCAAGCTCAACCGCCGCCCGCCCCCAATCCTCCCCATGATTATGCGCCGCACTCCCCTTCCCATCGGCCAACCCAGCCCTGACCAGCCCTTGCTCCTCCGTAAGCACCGTCAACAGCCCAAAGATAACCGGCACGCTCTTCTCTATCTGCAGGCGCATGAGGCCGTTCGAGACGGCATCGGCGATGTATTCGAAGTGCATTGTTTCGCCTTTTATCAGGACGCCGATGGCGATCAGGGCGTCGAAGGGGGCTTGTGAGGATGCTGATGTCGATGCGGGTGTTTGGACGGGGGAGGACGAGGTGGGGGTGTCGATGGATGTGCGGGTTGGCGGGGGTGCGGTGGCGGAGAGGGTGTCGGCGGTTGCGGTGCCGGGGATTCGACAGGGCGTTGCGGCCTTGGTGGCTTGGAGGACGGAGCCGGTGTAGATACTGTTTTCGTTATATCGGATATCAGTAGTTGTAATATATGGGAATTGGAATACGCAAACGAGATGGGGATTCGTTGGGTATATATATATATATATATATATCCAATGTGAAACCCATCCATTATTCAAAATGATATCAATATGATCCAAGCATGCTTGACAATCAAATCACCCAACATATAGCATAACATAACATAAGATAATATAATAAAATAATGGAAAAAATGGGAAACAGGGGGGAAAACACACGTTTCAACAGCAACCGGCAACTCCCAGCTCCCCGGCACACTCTGCGTCACGATATTCCCCTCCGCAACCCCCGCCGCCAACAACGCCTTCTTCGCTCCATCTACCAGCGAATGGATGATCCTGTCGTTCCACCGGGCGTGGACAATGGCGATGCGGAGGTTTGAGCCTATATTTGTTTTGTTTACGTTAGTATCAGCGGTATGTTGGGTGTAGAAGGGGAGGTGATCAGGGCCCGGGGGAGGGAGGGAGATGGGGGTTCTAATCATATCGATGTGTGGTGGGGTGGGGTGGGGTGGTGGTGGATTTACCGTCGTGTACTTCGGCGGTGCCGGGACCTTTGAGGGCGGTGGACATTTTTTAGAATTGGAATTATAATTGGAATTGGAATTGGATATAGGCTGATGATATAGAGGAATGTGAGTATGGCTGAGCGTTGGGTTAGCTGGGATGTTGATAGTTGCGGAGCAGGGGCGGAGAGGCGGGGTTACTAAGCGCCCGAATGTTACAACTTGAGATAGGCGATAAATAAATACCGGATATTATTATGTATATATTAATGACATGACATGTAATATGTAGTCAATTGGCATCTCCCATATCCGCATATTATAGTGAAAACACTTAACACCGCAAGAAGGCATACATAGTGGAGCTGATGGTGTATGTAATATATATATTCCTCATCCACACGAAAGGTAAATACTGAACGGGAGACAAGAGAAAGGAATATATTAAGCACGGCACAAGGAAGCCAGATAACTAAACTGTACCTAGGGGCTTTTCGGGGTTTAAAAAAGTAAAAATATAGCCGGCAATTAATTACATCAAACCATTACACGCACGCAAAGCATCTCGGTGAAATAAAACAGGAAAAAAAAAGAACACAAGAAGCAATCAAATCAGGAAAAACCCCACTCACTCCAAGGCTCCAGACCCCAGTTCCTCCCCATCTATCCATCCATTGCTGATAGATAGATCGATAGATAGATTATTTAGTTGTACTCCATATACCCCTTTGGAGAATCACCACAATCCCAGCAACAAACACTCACTCGCATACAAGTGAATTTTCTACCAATTCATCTACTCAACAGTAACGGACTTGGCCAGATTGCGTGGGAAATCCACATTCAACCCTTCCGCAACAGCCAACCAATACGCGATCAGCTGCAGGGGGATGACGTTCAGTAGACCCTGCAGACAATCCACGTTTGATGGTACTTCGATGCGTTCGGTTTCCGAGGCAGGGAATTCTTCGTCGCCTGCGTTGCAGATGACGATGGGGCGGCCACGGCGGGCGATGACTACAGTTTTTTAGTTGTTTATTCTTTTCTATTCAATTACTTTGGAAAAGAGACTATACGTACTCTGCTGGTATGCATTTAGGGATTTCTTGAAGATCCCGTCGCGGGTCAGAATCATGATGATAGGTAGGTTTTCGTCGACAAGAGCAAGGACGCCGTGTTTGAGTTCGCCCGACATGACGGCCTCGCAGTGGAGGTAAGAGATTTCTTTGATTTTGAGGGCGCCTATATATATGTTAGCATTAGACTATTATCACGGGGCGGGAGTAAAGGGCTAGACGCACCCTCCAAGGCGGTGGAGTATTGGCTTCCTCTACCCAACAGCAATAAACTCTTCTGATTCTTGAAGAGCTTGGCACACATTTCCTTGATAGGCTCGCTCAGTTTCAGAATCTCTCGGAACTGATCGGAGAGTTTAGACAGGCCGTCGATGATATCCTCGCGCCGTTTCTGTTTGGAAGCCCGGTCTTCACTCAGAGATAGTGCAAACATTACCATCGCGACAAACTGCGAGGTATAGGCCTTTGTGGACGCGACACCAATTTCGGGGCCAGCGTTGATGTGCACGCCGCAGTGTGTGAGGAGGGAAATGGACGAGCCGACAACGTTGACGATACCGACCGTCAGCGCGCCTCGCTCGAGGCAGTATCGGAGCGCCATGAGGGAGTCAGCTGTTTCGCCGGACTGGGAAACGAAGACGCAGGTATCATCACGGAAGACAGGAGCCTGTCTGTCAAGGAAGTCGGAGGCCAGCTCGACGGCGATGGGAATTTCGGTGAGCTCCTCGAAGACGCCGCGGACGGCCATGCAGGAGTGGTAGCTGGTGCCGCATGCGATGAAAATGATGCGTCGGCAACGGCGGATGGTAGTGATGTACTGTCTTAGCCCACCCAAGGTGACTTTTTTGTTAGCAACGTCTAGACGGCCGCGCATGGTGTTGACGATTGATTCGGGCTGTTCGAAGATTTCCTTTTGCATGAAGTGGTCGAAGTTTCCCTTCATGATCTCCTGGAGTTCGAGCTCAATGGTCTGAATGGCACGGACGTTGGAGGTGCTGTCATTCCTGGTGAGGCGGTGGATGTTCAATTGGCCCTCGTGGATGTGGGCAATGTCGTCATCTTCGAGGTAGAGCACCTTCTTGGTATGCTCGACGATGGCGGATGGGTCAGAGGAAAGGAAAAATTCAGCAGGCTGGGGGATTCCATCGTCAGACAAGAAGGCACGGGATTGCGAACGGTGTAGGAGGGATTTATCTGGAGGAGCCAGCAGGGTAGTCGCTGATTTTTTAAGGGCGACATTTTGAGAAGCTTGCTCGGCAGGGAGCGCACTGTCCTCGGAATATTCGACATCGACAAAGTCGACCTTCATCTTCTTGGAGGTGCGGACACCAATAACCAGAGGAGAACCCTTACGGGCGGCAATAACCTCGTGGGGGTAATGCACTGATTTCAGTAGCAAACCAAAAGCACCTTGCAGCTCCTTGACGACGGCCTTTGCGAGAACGGTGAAATCGATATCTGGATGGAGGTCGTAGAGGTATTTGGCAAACTTGGCTATGCACTCAGTATCTGTCTCAGTCTCGAAGCGGAAACCCTTGGACTCGAGGAGGGCCTTGAGTTCCTTATAGTTGGTGATGATGCCATTATGGACAACGGAGAATTCCCAGCTAGGATCAGATCTGGCTGCTGTTAGTTTTACGGCGAGGGAAAAGCAAGGTGTAAAAAGATAGTTCAAGAAGTATATACATACCTGTGAGGATGGCAGTTCAGTCTAGATGGGGGCCCGTGGGTGGCCCATCTGGTGTGAGCGATACCAGCGTGGGAGTCGAAGGTCTTGGAGAGATCGAAGTCTGAGTTATTGATGAGCTCTCTCAGCTTGGCAACTTTGCCCACTTCCTTGAAAGCAAAGACTTCATTTTTCTTGTCTCCATCTACAGCCAGACCTGCGGAGTCGTAGCCTCTGTACTCGAGTCTTGAAAGGCCTAATGAACGAGAGGTTGCATCAGTAAGAACATCAAGAGCAACAAAACCTTATAGTGGGTTTTCCCAACAGATTCAAGACAAACAAAAGGAGCCCAAACGGTTAGCCACGCACCATTGACCAAAGTCTGAATAATGTAGGCACGATCTTTCTCAATGAGATAGTTGATATATCCGAAAATTCCACTGTTGTTATTTATTAGTGTCAGCTGGGATTCCGTCACCTGTAGTTGGAGTGGTTGGAGGGAGGGAGGGGGGGTGGAATGACAAGAGGGCAAACCTACCACATGGTTTCAGTATCTGTAGCTGTCAGGGAGGAGGGGAGAATCTAGAGTGGTCAATTGGAAGGAGAACAGTCTTGCAGGAGTCGGGACTGTGTTAAAAAATGATCTGGATATTGTTTTGGAGGAGGAGGGAGGTTGTTGCTTGGGGTGAAACGCGGGCTGGAGGGTTCGAAAGCGGGGACGTTGGTGGGAGGAGAAACAGCCAATAGCCGGCGAGAGAGACGAAAACGAAAGACGGGAGATGGGAGATGGGAGATGGGAGATGGAAAGCGAGAGAAAGAGGTGTAGAGGGGAAGAGAATGAAGATATATAAACAGGTGAAAACGATTGATTCGCTGGAGTGAGATTAGTTATATAGAGAGAGAGAGAGAAAGAGAGAGACGAGAGAGACGAGAGAGATATGAAGAGGAAGAAGAAGAAGAAGAAGAAGAAGAAGGAAGAGGGCAACAGAAGGCAACAGAAGCCGAAGAAGACAACTTGGAAACAAGCAAGAGCTGAGGGGTGGAAGGGAGGTGGAAGGAGGTTGAAGGTGCGTGGTGATTATAATCTATGATGGTAATAGGAGATAAATATAGTAAATAATGTGGCATTAGTGAAGATGTGCGCAAAAGCAACAACAGCAGGTCG